CCGTTGAAATCTTTGATAATAATTTATGTACATGAAAGAAAGACTTTAATTCAAAAAGGTTATGAAAATATATATTTTGATTAACAGGATAATTTTAACGTTTCAAATAGAAAGCAATATGTACATGGACATGTGTATATATATTTTTTTTTCTTTTAAATCTTTCGTATTCTCTTTTTCTCTGGTGAAACGTGTCTGTAGGCGGATATAAAGAAAATTATGCTCATTCATTAATTCTCTCTCTCTCTCTCTTTCTCTCAGAATCAAAAATTTACCCCTTAACCATTGTTTGAGGGTATGAAGCATATCAAAATTTTACTATTTTATTTTATCACTTTACCTGTTTATCTCAATATTTAAACTTGGTTACTTTTCACCTCTCTCTCTTTCTCTCCCTCTCTTTATCTTTCTTTCTCGGTCTTTCTCTGTCATTCTCTTTTTTTTCTCTCTCTAATATTATATCTTTATTTCTTTCCTCTCTCTCTCTTTCTTTTTCCTATCTTTTTCTCTCCCGTTTTCGCTCTCTCTCTCTCTCACACATACACACAAACACACATATACCATTAATATTTGTAGTGCTATAAATATTGAATATTAAAAACTTTTATAATATTCAGAGAGAGAAAACCGAAACAGTTTCAAAATAATCGTTTTAATTGTGTTCTATGGGTAAAATTTTTAAAAAAAGGTTTTGAAATTTTAACCTATGACCAGGAATTTTTATAATAGATCATGATAGGCAAAGATGATTAAGTTCAGCTGTTTAGCGCCAACTGTAAGGCTTGCACGGAGGGTTTCAATAGATATTTTTATAAGGAAATGGAATCCAGGCCACTATTATTAATTTTGCATCTAGGTCCTAGGAGTCGCCGGCATATCAAACCGTCCAAGTTCCTCACGGCTTCCTGGCCGATTGTGAATTCAAGCCCCTGCGTGAAGTCTGCAGACACTTTCCCCTGCTCCCATTCCAGCGCAGGCGGCGTTCCAGTTCATCGGGGACGGCAGACGGGTGCAATGCCGATCTGATATTAATTATTTCGAAAGAAGAAGCTGTATAAAAAAGGAATTTGTAGATGTTCAAAGAGCGAAGATTCAACAACTAACAAAAGGTTTAAATTTTGTTGGAACAAGTTGGATAATCATTTAATTTCATAAATTGTGATGTACATATTAAGTACAAATAATTTCGACAAGAAAATTAATATTTTCTTGGCTAAAATAAATAATTGAATCAATAGAGCTATCTACCGCGTCTCACGCATTTCATTTCATAAAATTTCCCACAATTGTAGAAGAAAAGCCGTCCATAATCTAACCGTGACTATTTCGATTGACCATATGACTAAACATTCATTGCATCATATCTATATTACATGAAAATATAAACATATATCATTGCCTTGTTTGATGCTTACATATTGTGTATCCATACACCAAGTTGGCAAGTCGACTGCACCCTTGGTTGCTTTATAGTGCCATACGATCACAAGTTTTTAAAGCTCTTATCGTCAGATATTCGTACAGATGACTGTTTAGAAAAAAACAGACTTTTACGTAAATTAGCTTACGTTTTTTAGGCACAAATTATTGAGAATTGGACGTTTTGCTCTTCCTCAGGGTTTCGTCAAGCATCAGACGACTTACAAAAATCCACAACACGTTTTTTTGCCGTTTGTTTGTTTCTTTTTTTGCCTACGTAAATTTATGTTTTCAATAACAAGTAACGTTCCAATTTTAGTATATGTACCGCCGAAGATAAAAGTACCCCATCGACCCCAATCTAGTTTAGGTTAAGTGTAGGTCGGTGGAGGAATATCAAGTACTCCACCGACCAAACGGAATGAGCGTACTGTATGGATGTATTTAATTGTATGAATGTATTTATTTGTATGAACGTGTATAGAATATAGACTTAGTGTGGGCTGAAATGACCTAGATGTCGGAAGCCCCAGCAAAAAAAAAAAAAAAATAAAAAATAACAAGTAACGTTATCACCCCTGAACCACGTTTTTGTTCTATATTTAATCAGTTTGGCTTTTAGGCAAACTCTAAGGCACCGACCCCCTAAACAGAACAAATTATTCGTGAAATTGGTCAAATTGGGTTTAGGGTTGTAAACCATTTGACAATTTTAAATGAATATATTAATTACATCACTTATTGTTGCCAATTAACTAATAATTACAGCGTTTGGAAGAAAAGGTGAAACGAAATCATTCGCATCAAATTAATTCTCATTAGAGACCTAGTGGAAACTCACCTTCATAAGTAACTTCGTTGTTAATTGTTGAATAAAAAAGATCATGAAGTATATTTCTAGTTCTGAAGAAACGTTTTGAGACTAAAATCATTTAACCATATCGCAATAGGGAGTCGAATGAAAGAATAATCATAAAAATATTGAGGCGACCCGGGGCCTAGGATGATGTTAATTCTGTACTATTATTATTTGCCGAGAGAGTTATAAAGATTGTACATTTTGTGGGAAAGTTAGACCGGGTTAGTAGTAGGGTTCAAAAAAATGAAATAACCGTTTTATTTTTAAATTAATAAAGGTTTTCAATTGAGATAAAAAAGTCAGTGTCAACAGCGGGATTCGAACCCACTACCTTCGGCTTGATACACCGCTACTCTTCCACCTGAGCTATCGTGACTTCGATCCACTGGGACAGTAACTTCCCATCCACCAAAACTAGCGGACCACGAATACTAGTGAATTTAATGTTGAAATGAAATATATCTTTACTCAAGCTCTCCGTGGCCATTTAATTTGTCGCCGAGAATCAAATAGATTATACGACATTTGAAAAATTGCAAAAAGGAGGGAAAATTCAAAAGGTGGGGTTGAGATGGGAAGTTAGTGTCCGAGTGGATCGAAGTCACGATAGCCCAAGTGGTAGAGCAGCCACTTCTAGCCGAAAGTCGTTGGTTCGAATCCCGCTCGTGACACTGACTTTTTTATTTCAACTAAAAACCTTAATTAATTGAAACGTATAATTTGGTCAAGGAGGCCACGAAAACTAGTGAATTTATCCGTTTTATATTATATTGTTTTGCTTAATGTAAACAAAAATGTTTACAAAAGTAAGGTTTTTAAGAAGAGACGAGTTAAAATATACCAAACATTGACCAGCATTTAGATATAAATTCATTAAATAAAACAACAATAATTTAATAAAATTAAGCAAAATAGGTATTTTTGACCTAGTGCTGTTTCAACAAAGTTTCACTGACTCGCAGACCAGCATAAATGTAAATACAGACACCATTTGACCTCTTTTCTCGAGAATTTAATATATTTCTTCATAATCATCAATATCTTCTATATCTGAAGCGGGCCGAACAGGATTTGCTAAAAACCTCCTTCAGACCACTCCTTCCCGTCCAAGTAGTTGTAATAAGCACAAAATTTTTTGTAAATGTAAAATAGAAAAACGAAAAGCTTCCTAACTTTTTTAATTAGAAAATTACTCGAAATAGAAACAGTGCAAACAATCGTCGTAGATTGTATTGTAACTGTAAACAAAGTGTAAAATAGTAAAATTCTAAATTAATATTAAGATTTGGTCACATTTCTAATAACCTGCATATTACATTGGATAGACCATTAAACTATTAACTATGTTAATATGCTTCATTTTACAAACTTGTAAAAAAATAAGATGATGCCATAAACAGACTAGAACAATTTCTTCATTATTTTCATTCTTGAAGATTTTCATAAAGTCGTACTTAAATGCATTATATATTTACTCATTTATGCTACTACCTCGTTTTTATAAAACACTTAAAAAGCTAATCAGTTTTTAATCTTTCTCATGATTAGGATATAATTGCAAGATATAAAGGTGTGTTGCACATTAAGAATATGTCTCGGACGGATGCTTTTTTTAAATTCATGCCCAGTACTGTAGAACAGGGACAAACTATTTTAGAAAAGAGCCAAACCGTAAACCAAATCTGGTATTGGCGGGCCAGGATGATACTTGATAGGTATTCTTTAATAAATACATTTTCCAAGATGAATAATATTAACTTTACCGTATTAGAAGCAAAAAACTTAGCAACCCCCCCTTTTATTGAGATGACATTGCTGGACTTGGTCTTAAATGGAATGTCTTGTTTGGTGCAGGTTTATTACTAAGCTTGGACTAAAAACTGTGAGACTTAACCCCGACCCTAAGATAGCCCAAATGCTCCAAGAAGACCCTCTACCTTCCTTTTTTCCTTTTAAAGATTAGAAGGCGCACATTATAACGGGGAGTTTATTTTCTTCATTTCGTTTTGCTCGTTCTGTCCCTTCTGTTGGATCTTGAAGTTTTTACTACAAATAGGGGAGAATTTTTTAACTCGACCTTTGGATAATCTAACGAATTTTCTGATATACTACATCTGAATTGCCTTGAATTACATCTGCATTTTGATGATGCTAAACTAACTTGGAATAACAGTTCCAATCAGACTTAATTTAATTCTATATAGCTTGTTGAAGTCATGAGGAGCGGTCAAAAATGAAATAGTTTTGAAAAACACCTTTTTTAATTTTTTTCCAACGTTTCGACCTTTATTCGGGTCATCTTCAGGGCATAAAGTGTGGTATTATTCTTGTGGTTGGTTTTGAGATAATGTGTTCTGACAAAACCCAACATAACACCAAAAGAATAGCACCACACTTTATGCCTTCAAGATGTCCCGAATAAAGGTCGAAACGTCGGATAAAAATGAAAAAGGTGTTTTTCTAAACTGCCTACAGCTCATCACGACTTCAACAAATTATGGAACAACAGGTCACTAAGAAACATACACCATATAGCTTTTCGGGTTCAAAAATTTGAGTGTCGAGTCAGTACTATTTCCATTTTGCTTCTTCCAGAATGCTTCTTTCTCTGACAAAAGTATGAGCTAAAATTAGATCTGGATTGCTTGTAGGTCCCCATAAGAAATAAAGTTAGGGACCTGTTCATAGCTTAGGATCTTATGGATTGTATAAAATACCATCGTAGAAAATAATAAATATATTTATTTACGCATATTTACAAATAAATAGTCGTTTGCCTTTTCAACATTTAGGAAATTCAAGCGTGCGCCCTGTAAGCTAGGTCGTGGGCTCTTGCGTGATAGTGTTCGTCGACGTGGTGATGATGATGCGGGTAGTAGACTTCGTAGTTGACCGTCTTGGGTCTGGTGAGACGGAAAATGATCATAGCAGCCGTGAGGACCAGGGAGAGTAGACCCAGGGTGAGCGCCTTCCAGGTCTTTAGGGCGATCAAAGCCATTGCGAGGGGGATGACGGCGGTCGCCTTGAACTTCAAACCAAGTAGGAATGGAAGAACAACTTTCTTAACAAAGCCACGGCCTGTTAAAAAAAAAGTATTAGAATTTCTAGTTTTGCTCAAATAAAATTTAACCGTACAACATTTCCAACGTTTCTAATAATCAGTATTCAATTGTTTACTTATAAAATACAAAACAATCCTTTAAAAATTGTTAATAGTTCTGCAAGATTAAAGAGAAGGAACAGGAGATAAAATTTTAAAAAACATTTAAACTAAAGTAAAACAAACTGGGTGTTAAATTATTTACGAGGCAAAATTCAAAAAAATCAATACTGAATATTTAATACAAGTAAAGTTTTCACAGCTTTTTGATTTACTTATCTTTTCGATTTTTTTTTTATTCTAAGCTTTAACCAATACGTTTTATCAAAGCATATTTGATACTATATCTACTTTTACACCACAATCAAAATAATATAAATTGATGTTTTTTTGAAAACAGTAATTAATCAATAAAAAACTCAAATAAATGCATCATTTTATAAAAACGTTTTCTAACATTAAGTAATATCTGGACTATTGTGTTACCCTCGTTCGAATCCTGTTCAGCAAGGGGTAGTACGATGGTTTTTGGCAAATCGGCGAGGAAGTCATCACCGACTAAGCCTCTTGCACCACTGACCAACTCTTCTGGAAGTTCCAGTTTAAGGGAATGACCGTAAATGTACCTCTCGAGTTTCTCAAGTGTGGTCGATTCTCCGCTGACTTCGTCGACTTCCCTCTGAAAATTTTAAGAAGCATTTGAATGCAAGGATTGGAGATTTTCTTCTAAATTTGCTTTTGTATTACTACCGATGAGGAGATAATTGATAAGTGTCGTGTTATCCTAAGCGTCGGCAAGGATTGCGCCCTCGTCAAAGCTTGGTTCAGATGACCTTCAATGCAGCCTGGTTTTCCGACTACCAGACAATCCAGGGCCTCCAGCCCCAGGCACATCTATGAAAAACATAAATTTTCTATATAGTTCTACCTAAAGAATATAAAAATATGAAAATGACATGTGAAATTTTTGAGCTGTATAAATTGCAACACTAATTACTTCACAGGGTAGTTTGGTCGTTACCATTTTGGTGTGCCTATCATTGCTGTTTGGCAGCAGAAAATCTACCAAACTACAGGATGATTACACTGTAGAATTCAACAAAAAATCATTTTTCAATGTGTCAAAATGAATAATTTTACAAATAAAATAATACTCTTAAGAAAAAAATTCTGCATTTCAATCTTTGTTGGGCGGTTTTGATAAGAATTACAAGGAAAAATTTTCTGTAATGAAGCTAAAATTCGAGCGTGTTCAAAGATAAAAGGCTTTGAGAAAACCGAGACAAGCAAGCTTTGAACGGGAAGAGCAGAAAAACAGAATTAATTAAGCTTTCAATTACCTGGAGGGAAGCTAAGCCGAAAATTAACACTACACACCTCTTCATGGCTGGATCGGCAGTGACACCCCTCTTCCCTTTCCAGTTTATATATTGGTAACTCGTTCTTCGCCGAGCGGTGGGGCGCACTTCTTCCGATGATTCCGAGAGTGGCACAATTCCGTCTGTTAATTAAATTTTTCACCTGTGCGGTGAAAGTGAGTGATATCAAAAGCCGAAGTCTGGCAGGATTTGAGCTTTTGAATTTGACTCCATCCAACCAGACGAAAAACGATATGGAAGAAAAGTTGAACGAATATTTTTTCCAATTTCGATTTAATTTATTCAAATGGACATTAATTTCATGTCAATCTTCTTTTCGGGAAAATTCTCCTTAGGAAAACGCCAAAATGTACATTTTTTAAAAATAGGAAAACCACCTTATTAAATGATTGCCGTTACAAAAGAAAGTATTGACACGGGCTCATCACTGTAAGGTAAAGGTCCCGGGTTTGAATCCAGCGGCCCTGCATTCAAACCCGACATACTTACAAATGTTTTTTTTTTTTTCAAAAACACCGGCACCCTGAGGGTTTATATGACCACTGCTGTTGCAAAAAAAGAAAAAAAAGCGAATTAAAAGTGGGTGTACACAGGCAAATAAATAGAAAAGAAGAATAAATGAAGGAGTGAGAGCTAAAGTGTCTTAGAGAGAGATAAAGATAGATAAAGAGTAATTGAAAATCATGGAGTATCATTATTACATATTTCATCAAAACTTTATACTTTTGTCAACAAGTACAATAATGATCCACTGACACCTGACGTTCTCCGTAACTACAGGTGATTATGAAAAGGCAACCCAAGGCTTTGAAGGTAACTTTGAACTAAAACTTTGTTTTCTTCAAGGTTTATTTTTCTCAATAGTGGTGAATTATCCAATTTTTCCCCAAACATTTTAACTGACTGAACAAAAATAATTATAAAAAATAGTTTTCAATTCACAAGAAATTTGATCGACCAAATTAAACAGAGAAAAGAGGAAAGGAGAAATACANATATATATATATATAGAGAGAGAGAGAGAGAGAGGGTGAAATAATGAGTGAGAGAGGCAAAAGTAGTGATATGCAGATTTGTAATTGTTTTTATGTATAACATATTATGAAATAATTATATCCGTTGGTACAAAGTTATAAATTGCTAAGTTGTATGACTGCAAAAAACTAATATAGAGAGATAAAAATTGCAGTAATGAAAAGATAAATATCAAAGAAATTAGATAGACAGAAAGATAGAAAGAAAGATAGATGGACGGTAGCAAGAGAATAAGAAAGAAATAAAAAACAGAAACACATTGAGATAGTGACAGAAAGACAGAAAGACAATGTTACACAGAGGGCAGTACTATGAATAGTTAGTAGCAGTAAGTATTACTAATGGGCAAAAGGTACACCCTCATGTTTTTGATTGTGATAACAAGCAATCGACTAATCAACCTTTCTACATTTGCTCTTCATTTACGCTCTAACGCTCTAGTCATGATTATTTCCAGCATCGTATTGTTCATATCGACTCTAAAGGGCTTTCAATGTAAGTAAAGTCCTGAAAACTAGGCAATCTGCGTTATAATCGTCGCCACATGTGATTGTGGGCGTATGTATTTAATGGGATGTATATTACACCAGTTCCGAGCTCAATGGAATAATAATTCGGCAATAATCAATGTATAAGGAATAATTATTAATAGTTATTATTGTATGTTTACGTCTTTTCTGGACAAATTTAGAATCAGTACGCTTACAAGGCTAATTTTGATAATATATGGCAAAATTAAACCAGCCTTGCATTTGGAATAACAAATGTTGTCATTCTTGCAAATATTCAAAAAACTTTGAAATATTTACCGAAGAATATTGTACAGCAATTACTACTACTGTACTACACTGTGTTATTATTTTTTTCTTTTTTTTATACGCACAGTACGTCTGAAATAGAGAGCCTACTACTAGCAATTGCTATTACAGTACAATTTATATACAGTAAATAATAACACAATGAATATAAAAGAAAAAAGGAATTATTTCAAAACGGATAAATTTGCGCACAGGTATTGCATTTAATTCATATTCATCTCTAAGGAATTCTTTTTTCATACGCTTTTTAAATAACATTCCCTGTTTTTATGGTATATCCTTTTTGCTAAATCTCTCATGGGGGCACCTATGGCCAGTAGTCTCTCTCTCTCTCTCTCTCTCTCTCTCTCTCTCTCTCTCTCTCTCTCTCTCTCTCTCTCTTTCTCGCTCGCTCGCTCTCTCTCTCTCTCTCTCTCTCTCTTTCTCTCCTACTTCGTTTCAAATTTTAACCATTTGTCTATTTAAAAAAAAATACATTTTTTACCGTTACCTATTTGCATTTTCTTTGTCAAATCCTGTAAATACATTGTATTTAGTACTGTAATTGTTGTTTATTTGCAATTTTATATTTTTATGTATTTATTTGGTATATAACAGATAGGACTAATTAATCTCCTTTTCTTTCATTTTCTCTTGCTTTCTCTTGTTCTGTCTTTTTCTTTGATTTTCCAATTACTCTCTCTCTCTCTCTCTCCCCTCTCACCCTCTCTCTCTCGCTCCCTCATTCTCTCTCTCTCTTTCTCTACCTACCTATCTCTCATTTATTTGGTATAGAGCTATTCATAAATTTACAAATATTTTACATAATATTTTTTGAAATTATATAATAAATTACTATTTTGAATTATAGGCATAAAACCCTTAAAATTAAGAAAAACTGATTAAATTATATTTAAAAAACATTATAATTAATATTAAATTGAAATTGCTTACCATACTACGGCTTAAACAATAAAAACCCTACTTTTTTTACTTCAATAACTTATTAAAAATCAAAGGGCGATGGCCGAGTGATTAAGGCGTCCAACTTTCGTATTTTAACGGCTAGCGTGAGTTTGAGTTCGAATACCGACAAGCCCATGGGTTTTTAATAGTGAATAACATGGAGATAATATTGTAATGATTTTTGTCCTTTTGTCCACTAAGGCCAACGAGTAATTGGATGTTAAGCCGTCCTATTATGGGAATTTATTTTTTACACTTTTTACTTTTTAAAAACTACAAACAAACGGAAACGCATATTTCGTAGATATTCTGCACTTGGATGATCACCCTCCAATTTATGTGGTAGGCCTTGACGAACTGTCTTTCAATTATTTCAAGCATACGCTTCAACAAGTGTCATCAATTAATGTGAGCTGTCTCTTTGTACTTTGAATGAAAAGATTCTCTTTGGACCCAAACCTGGCAAACAGAACGCTTTGTGTCAGCTTTAAACGTAATGAAAGTTTAAATGTTTAACGAAGTAGCGTTAAATATGCAAAAATTCCTATTATACGAAAGCTCTGTTACTGTTATTGAATGTTAACGAAGAAAGTTTTGATGATGGATAGATTTGTTTTTTTCTAAGTAGATCGTTTTGAATTGTTTGACGATTAGTTGTTGTAAATGATTGGTATTATTCGAGTCGCGGGTGTGAAAGTAAGCCCCAGTTTTGAAATGGCATTTAAAAGGCATTTCGTCCCCATTCACTATCTGTTGAGCCGTATTATTATTCAACTCCCGGCCGCCCCTGATTCTTCCGATCATATGACAATGAAGCTTTCGACCGGACTTCAGCCCGGCCATTCCTGAATTCAAATGTTCTGATATGACACGTTTTCCAATTAGACTTGATGGAAACGGCCGGACGTTTCACTCGTTCGAATTGTGATGGATTGGGTCCGGGAGGATTCGCTTGAAAACTTGTTGGCCGACTTCAACCGCCTTACCCTCATGGGGATCAAAGAACGGGCTAATGACAGACACTAATGAAAATTTGAATTCAAATTTTGCTCCATCCTATAATTTATACTAATATAGTAAAACTGTATTAATATTCATCAATTATATGCACCAATACTATACGTCAATAAATTTAAACCTTAAAATAAATTTTCTTATAGATAATACGACCTTTCAAATATATTTTCATATAGTTCTAATTAAGTTTACATATAGTCTGATTTGCTCAAAATGTATTTATTCGAATTAAAAATATTTTTTCTGTATCATAGTAAGTGAAATAATAGAAGAAATGTTAATTCTTTAAAATTTTATTGTTTGATCAGATTTGTGGTTCTTTATTTTTGGGATAAAGGAGAGTTATTGACGAAGAATAATGTAAATTATAACGTATGGATATGTAAATTATAATATAGATATAATATATAATTATAAATTATAATTTATAATGTAAATTTTTGTTTCAAATAAAAACGTCAACGTTTATGTCAGAAATAAAATAACTTTTCTGCAAAAATAGTGAGAATATGATACCTTTTCAAAAACCATCCAAATATTAATATAATAAATCTACATATCCAATAATGGCAAAGGGTAATAAACGATCTACCATCAAAAATTGATATGAACGTGAATGACCAATACATGAATGAACCAAAAATTTTTCTTGTTATTTCACAATTTTTATTAAGGAGTTTGCGAATGATTTGTGAATAAAATATCAGTGCTGACACCAAAGATAAAAAATTAGTTTGAAAAAAATATGTATACACATCTTGAAAACTATGTATAAAACAACTATGAAAATAGTATACTTTACTATACTTTAAACTTTAAACCGTTGCTCTTAGAATTATTGATGGGTTTCAACAATATAAACATGTACATTACATCCATACTCTCCTTACATATTAAGCATAACAACATATACTTGTGACTTAATTTCTAGATTTTATGGTAGGTGGTCAGTTCCAATTACAACCGTAAAACACGATATAAAAAATAAGATACAGAAATAGATAACATTTAACATTAAAACGAGATATATAAAAGTTTTTCTTGTATTAATAAATGAATTTTTATAATTGGTGTACTTTGCCTGTTATAAAGATGTATATTTTGAGAGTCTCAATCTGGAATGATTATTACTGTTTATTTAGTACTTTTATGAATAATTTATTTTAAAAACTAAGGAATTACATAATTTTTAGAAAATATTTTTTCT